AGGCAGAGGATATAGATAGAGATGAAGAGTAGGAGAGGAGCACACACACACACACACACACACACACACACACACACACACACACACACACACACACACACACACACACACACACACACACCTTTTGATGCTAACGATGAAAGTTCAAAAGATAATTAATACTGACGTAATAACCCGGTGTTCTCTCCTCACAAAATTACATTGAAAATAAAGAATCGTTGTATAATAATTGTTGACTCGTGTACACAAAGCAGTGGCGGTAATTATTATTATTATTGTTATTATTACTCTCTCTCTCTCTCAATATTGAATAGAATGTCATCTCGTATTTCCTCTCTCTCAATATTGAATAGAAAGTCATCTCATATTCTCTCTCTCAATATTGAATAGAAAGTCTCATGTTATTCTCTCTCTCTCTCTCTCTCTCTCTCTCTCAATATTGAATAGAAAGTCATCTCGTATTCTCTCTCTTCTCTCTCTCTCTCTCTCTCTCTCTCTCTCTCTCTCTCTGAACAAGGCACTTTAAGTATCCTAATCGGATAGAATCCCAATGGAAACATGATGACCCTGGATTAAACCTGATAAAACGCGATAAACCTGATGAAGCAAAACGGATTAAAAGAAATAAAAACAATGAGGAGAAGAGCCCTTTACCATATCAAAATGTAAACAAACCATTACGGAACAGCTGATGGCCTGACAATCATCGAACCCGTGAACTGTATGAGGAAACACGACCAAGGAGAGAAATTTTCCATTACGCCAGCTGACACATCTTCACAACCTTCCTCTTCCTCTCTTGCTCCTCTTCCTCCATCTCCTCCTCCTCCTCCTTTATTTTCTCCTCCTGTTCCTCTTCCTTTATTTTCTTCTCCTGCTCCTCTTCCTCCATCTCCTCCTCTTCCTTTATTTTCTCCTCCTGCTCCTCTTCCTCCTCCTCCTCTTCCTTTTCTTTTATTTTCTCCCCGTCCCATTTCCTTCACTTTCTCCCCTGCTCTTGCTTCTTCTTCTCCTTCTCCTCTCTTCCTTCTTTTTCTTTCTTCTTTTTCTTCTTCTCTCCTCTCTTCATTCACTTTTTCCCCTGCTCTTGTTTCTTCTTCTCCTTCTCCTCTCTTCCTTCTCTCCCTGCTCTTGTTTCTTCTTCTCCTTCTCCTCTCTTCCTTCATTTTCTCCCCTGCTCTTGTTTCTTCTTCTCCTCCACCTCCTCGTCTTCCTTTTTCTTCATCCTCCTCCTCCTCCTCCCCACTCACCCCTCTCCTCAGGTCAGGTCAGGGAAGGTCGGGTCAGGTCATGGAAGGTCAGGTCGGGTCAGGTCAGGTCAGATTAAGTTAATTTATCTCATGACGTAATACAGAAACAGAAAAGTTGTCAAGGGCAGATTTACACACAACAAAACAGAAACACATGAAAAATCGGGCATCAAATCGGACAGCTTCTCGTAATCCAAAAATCCTCTTCCGTTTAGCAATTATTTGGGAATGGATTAAAGAGATGGGTTATGAGTGAGTCTCATGTCTAATTCAACCTAATCTAACCTAAACTAACCTAATCTAACCCAACCTAATCTAACCCAACCTAATCTAACCTAACCTAACCTAATCTAACCCAACCTAATCTAATCCAACCTAATCTAACAACCTAATCTAACAACCTAATCTAACCCAACCTAATCTAACCCAACCTAATCTAATATAAACTACCCTAACCTGAGGTAATGTAACCTATTCTAACTTACCCTAATTTAACCTACCTTAACCTAACCAACCTTAACCTAACCTACCTAACCTAACCTATTCCAATTTACCCTAACTTAATCTAATCTACCTTAACCTAACCTAAGCTAACCTAACCTACCTCAGCCTAGCTTCTTCCCCTCTCTACTTTGGGATTAGAGATTACTCATATGTCATCACCTTCGACTAGATAACGGGGCTGCCTCTTCCTCCTCCTCCTCCTCCCTTCCCCTTCCTTCCTTCCCTTCCTCCCCCTCCTCCTCCCCTTAACTACCTCCTTCCTCTCTCCTCCTAATCTTCACAACCTCTAAGTCTCCTTCTCTGCCTGCTCCTCTTCCTCCTCCCCCCTTTCCTCCCTCATCACCCTTCTCTCCTCCCCTTCCTCCTCCCCTCCTCTCTTTCCTTCCCTTCCCTTCCTGTCCTCCTACTCTTCTCCTTCTCCTTCCCTATCTCCTCCTCCTCCTCCGTCCCTCCCCATCCACCTCTTATCATTCCTCCTCTTCAACACCTTCCCTCGCCTCCTCCTCCCTTCTCTTCCCCAGGTGACTTCGTTTAAGACCCCGACACATGGTAGCACTTGCTGGGGGGAATCAGAGGCCTAATTACCGTGGAGTTGGAAGATGACGTTCATTCTCGGAGCAGAGCAGGTAGTTCTGTCATCTGTGGTTAGGTAAGGTTAGGTAAGGTTAGGTTAGGTAAGGCCAATTAAGGTCAGGACAGATTAGGTCAGGTTAGATAAGGTTAGGGTTAGGTTAGGTAAAGTAAGGTCAATTAAGGTCAGGACAGATTAGGTCAGGTTAGATAAGGTTAGGTTAGGTAAGGTTAGGGTTAAGTTAGGTAAGGTTAGGGTTAGGTTAGGTAAGGTTAGGTTAGATCAGGTAAGGTCAAGTAAGGTCAGGACAGATTAGGTCAGGTTAGATAAGGTTAGGTTAGGTTAGGTCAGGTTAGATAAGGTTAGGTTGGGTAGTTGGTGAGTGAGGAAGATGCCAGCATATCCCAACCACCCAACGTTAAGCCGCGTTATTGACAGGCCAGCCCGGGGGACATGTGTTAGGCCAGTGGGCGAGGGAAGGTGATGTGTTGACGTGTGTGGGTGTAGGTGATGTCCCTGTTGGTTAGTCTTGGGATGAAGAGCAGCAACAACAACAACAGCAAATAAAAAACAAACAAATAAACAACAACAACAACAACAACAACAAAAAACATAAACAACAACAACAACAACATAAACAACAACAATTTATCAAAAGAAAAAACTAAACAGGATTTTCTTTCGTAAAACTTTCAGGTTAAAGAAAATTGACTCCACACGACGTCACAAGAAGCTCGGATGGCCTAACCTGCCTCCACTACCCAAGTCCATCACGTTACACAAGTCCATCACGTTACTCAAGTCCGTCACGTTACCCAAGTCCGTCACGTTACCCAAGTCCGTCACGTTACCCAAGTACATCACGTTACTCAAGTCCGTCACGTTACCCAAGTCCATCACGTTACCCGTCCGTCACGTTACCAAGTCCATCACGTTACTGTCCGTCACGTTACCCAAGTCCGTCACGTTACCCAAGTCCATCACGTTACCCAAGTCCGTCACGTTACCCAAGTCCATCACGTTACTCAAGTCCGTCACGTTACCCAAGTCCGTCACGTTACCCAAGTCCATCACGTTACCCAAGTCCGTCACGTTACCCAAGTCCATCACGTTACCCAAGTCCGTCACGTTACCCAAGTCCATCACGTTACCTAAAATATCGCAGGATTTTTTCTGAGTGCCGGATTTCGCCAGCTTGGCCCTTGATGGCATATTGTGAGGCATTCTGAGGAGGAGGAGGAGATACTGATGGAAGAGGAGGAGACGGAAGAGGAGGAGATGGTGATGGAAGAGGAGGAGATACTGATGGAAGAGGAGGAGACGGTGATGGAAGAGGAGGAGGAGGAGACGGAAGAGGAGGAGATGGTGATGGAAGGAGGAGATACTGATGGAAGAGGAGGAAGAGGAGGAGACGGTGATGAAGAGGAGGAGGAGGAGACGGAAGAGGAGAGATGGTGATGGAAGAGGAGGAAGAGGGAGAGATACTGATGGAAGAGGAGGAAGAGGAGGAGACGGTGATGGAAGAGGAGGAGATGGTGATGGAAGAGGAGGAGATGGTGATGGAAGAGGAGGAAGAGGAGAGACGGTGATGGAAGAGGAGGAAGAGGAGAGATGGTGATGGAAGAGGAGGAGATACTGATGAAGAGGAGGAAGAGGAGGAGATGGTGATGGAAGAGGAGAGGAGGGAGATGGTGATGGAAGAGGAGGAAGAGGAGGAGATGGTGATGGAAGAGGAGGAGGAGGAGATGGGATGGAAGAGGAGGAGGAGATATTGATGGAAGAGGAGGAGGAGGAGACGGAAGAGGAGGAGATGGTGATGGAAGAGGAGGAAGAGGAGGAGATGGTGATGGAAGAGGAGGAGATACTGATGGAAGAGGAGGAAGAGGAGGAGATGGTGATGGAAGAGGAGGAGATGGTGATGGAAGAGGAGGAGATGGTGATGGAAGAGGAGGAAGAGGAGAGACGCAGATGGAAGAGGAGGAGGAGGAGACGGAAGAGGAGGAGATGGTGATGGAAGAGGAGGAAGAGGAGGAGATGGTGATGGAAGAGGAGGAGATACTGATGGAAGAGGAGGAAGAGGAGGAGATGGTCATGGAAGAGGAGATGGTGATGAAGAGGAGGAGATGGTGATGGAAGAGGAGGAAGAGGAGGAGACGGTGATGGAAGAGGAGGAGACGGTGATGGAAGAGGAGGAGATACTGATGGAAGAGGAGGAAGAGGAGGAGATGGTGATGGAAGAGGAGGAGGAGGAGATGGTGATGGAAGAGGAGGAAGAGGAGATGGGATGGAAGAGGAGGAGGAGGAGATGGTGATGGAAGAGGAGGAGGGACAAGAGTGAAAGACGGGGGGGAAGATGTCAATGTAAGGAGGAGGAGATGGTGATGCAGAGGAGGAATGGTGATGGAGGAAGAGGAGGAAGGAGAGATGGGGAATTATGAAAGATGATGAGGAGGAATAGATGAAGAAAGAGAAGGAGAGAAAGAAGTATAGGTACAAGAAGAAACAAGGAGGTGGAAAAGAAAGGAGGAGGGGGTGGGGGAAGATCAAGCAGACGAAATAAAGAAACGAAATGAGAGAGAGAGAGAGAGAGAGAGAGAGAGAGAGAGAGAGACCAGGCACCCAAACTACCCCCACAATACTAAAACCGCTAGTTAATGTTCATATCAATGTCCGTCATGGTCACCTGTCCTCGTAAACCAAGGTATTACTGCTAACTTCTTGTCGTGTACCTAGTGTGTGTGGCTCCTCGGGGCCTACAGGCAGTGAACGAGTCTGAAGATGACAGTTCCTTGATGTGTATTTCTGAAGTCTTGTTCCAACTTTGGTTCAAAATTGCATGTCCATTTTTTCTAGTTCAAATTCATATTAGCTCCTGAGAGAGAGAGAGAGAGAGAGAGAGAGAGAGAGGTGGGTGTGTGTGTGTGTGTGTGTGTGTGTGTGTGTGTGTGTGTGTGTGTGTGTGTGTGTGTGTGTGTGTGTGTGTGTTTAGTAGTGAGGATATACAGTACAGTGTAATACACCCTGGTACCAAAGGTAATGTGGGGAGGCAAACTGCACTCTACAACCTTTTACTCCCATCTGCAAGGTTAGGTTAGGTTAGGTTAGGTTAGGTTATGGTAGAGTAGGTTAGGTTACGTTAGATTAGGTTAGGTTACGTTAGGTTAGGTTATGGTAGAGTAGGTTAGGTTACGTTAGATTAGGTTAGGTTACGTTAGGTTAGGTTATGGTAGAGTAGTTTAATACAGGTTAAGCTTGCTTTTAGGTGATTAATCCCCATGTGATATAAGCTGGTGGCTAATCCTCATGTGATCCAGTTTCTTTTAAAGGTCTGGTGAATCATCTTAACACACACTCAGTCACTTTTATTTCCAACATTTTGTCTTGAGTTTTGGCGAGGCAGAAAGTTTGTCGCCACTTTGACACGGCCAGAGTCAAGTTGTTATAACGAAGCTAATCATTCAGACACAGTGCTAATACCTAACCTAACCAAACCTAACGTAACCTAACCTATCCTAACCTAACAAAACCTAGTAGTAACAGTGATGGTGTTAAGTGGTGGTCCTGTCTGGTAGTGGCGGCGGGGGGAGAGGTAGTGATGAGGAGGGGAAATAGTGGTGAGGGGAAGGTAGTGGTGAGGAGGGGAAATAGTGGTGAGGAGGGGAAGGTAGTGGGTGGAGGAGGGAAAGGTAGTGGTGGAGGAGGAGGGTAGTGGGTGAGGAGGAGGGTAGTGGTGAGGAGGAGGTAGTGGTGGAGGAGGGGGTAATGGTAAGGGGTATTAGTGAGGGGGTAGTGGTGAGGGAGCGGTAGTGGTGGAGGGCGGGGTAGTGGTGAGGGAGGGTGGTGAGGGAGCGGTAGTGGTGAGGGCGGGGTAGTGGTGGAGGGAAGGGTAGTGGTGAGGGAGCGGTAGTGGGAGGGCGGGGTAGTGGTGGAGGAGGGGTAGTGGTGAGGGAGCGGTAGTGGGAGGGAGGGGTAGTGGTGAGGGAGGGGTAGTGGTGGAGGGAGGGGTAGTGGTGAGGGAGGGTAATGGTAAGGGGTAATAGTGAGGGAGGGGTAGTGGTGAGGAGGGGTAGTGGGTGGAGGGAGCGGTAGTGGTGAGGGCGGGGTAGTGGTGAGGAGCGGTAGTGGTGAGGGAGCGGTAGGTGGTGAGGAGGGTAGTGGTGAGGGGAGGGGTAGTGGTGAGGGAGGGGTAATGGTAAGGGGGTAATAGTGAGGGAGGGGTAATAGTGAGGGAGGGGTAGGGTGGAGGGAGGGTAGTGGTGAAGGAGGGGTAGGGTGAGGGAGGAGAGTGGTGGAGGGGAGGGTAGTGGTGGGAGGAGGGGTAGTGGGGAGGAGGTGAGGGGGAGAGGGGTGGTGAGGGGGGAGGAGGGTAGAGGGGAGGGGTTGTGGTGAGGGAGGGGTAGTGGTGAGGAGGGGTAGTGGGAGGGGAGGGGTAGTGGGGGAGGGAGGGGTAGTGGTGAGGGAGGGGTAGTGGTGAGGAGGGTAGTGGTGAGGGGAGGGAGTGAGGGGGTGGTGGTGAGGGGGAAGTAGGGAGAGGGGGAAGTAGGGAGAGGGGGGGGGAAGTAGTGGTGAGGGGGAGGTAGTGGTGAGGGGGGGGGGAGAGGGGGAGGGGGTAGGGGTGGAGGAGGGGTAGTGGAGGGGAGGGGTAGGGTGAGGGGAGGGGTAGTGGTGAGGGGAGGGGTAGTGGTGGGAGGGAGGAGTAGTGGTGGAGGAGGGGTGAGGGGAGGGGAGGGAAGGGGTGAGGGAGGGGTAGGGTGAGGGGAGGGTAGTGGTGAGGGGAGGGGTAGGGTGGAGGGAGGAGTAGTGTGGTGGGAGGAGGGGTAGTGGTGAGGGAGGGGTAGTGGGTGGGAGGGAGGGGTAGGTGGGAGGGAGGGGTAGTGGGTGAGGGAGGGGAGGGTGGGAGGGGAGGGGAGGGGAGGGAGGGGAGGGGTGAGGAGGGAGTGTGAGTGGAGGGGTGGGGTGGTGAGGGGGAGGTAGGGTAGGGGAGGGGTAGTGGTGAGGGGGTGGTGGTGAGGGGGGGAGTAGTGGTGAGGGGGGAAGTAGTGGTGAGGGGGGAAGAAAGGGTGGGAAGTAGGTGGTGAGGGGGGGGAATAGGGTGTGGGTGAGGGGGGGGGAAGAGTAGGAGGGGGTAAGGAGGAGGGTAGGGGGTGGTGAGGGGAGGGTAGGGGAGAGGGGAGGGGTAGTGGAGGGGAGGGAGGGGTAGTGAGGGGGTAGTGGAGGGAGGGGTAGTGGTGAGGGAGGGGAAATGGAGAGGGGTGGTGGGGAGGGGGGGGTAGTGGTGAGGGGGGGAAGTAGGTGGGAGGGGGGGGAAGTGGGGAGGAGGGGGAAGTGGAGGGAGGGGGTAGGGTGAGGGGGGGGTTAGTGGTGAGGGAGGGGTAGTGGTGAGGGAAGGGTAGTGGTGAGGAGGGGTAGTGGTGAGGGAGGGGTAGTGGTGGGAGGAGGGGTAGTGGTGAGGGAAGGTGGTGAGGGAAGGATAGTGGTGAGGAGGGGGTAGTGGTGAGGAGGGGTAGTGGTGAGGGAGGGTAGTGGTGAGGGAGGGGTAGTGGTGAGGAGGGTAGTGGTGAGGGAGGGTAGTGGTGAGGAGAGGTGGTGAGGGAGGGTGAAGGTGAGGCGCGTTACATCACAGATATTACTGGAACCCAACTAGTTAAGACCTTGATACACCGGGGAATTAATTAACACGGTATATGCCCACTCCACCCAGCCACTAATCCACCCAGCCACTAACCCACCCAGCCACAAACCCACCTCTATCCCACTCACCCTTATCTCACCCAGCACCATTTTCTACCCACCTACAATCCACCTCACCCACTCAGACGGTGTTGTACAGTATAGAAGGTGTTGTAACAGTAGACGGTGTTGTACAGTATAGAAGGTGTTGTAATAGCATAGACGGTGTTGTACAGTATAGACGGTATTGTACAGTATAGACGGTGTTGTACAGCATAGAAGTTGGTGTTGTACAGTATAGACGGTGTTGTACAGGATAGACGGTGTTGTACAGTATAGAAGGGTACAGTATCAATGATGTTGTACAGTATAGACGGTGTTGTACAGTATAGACGCAGCACAGTGTTGTACAGTATAAACAACTACTCTCTCACTCTCACTCTCTTCTCACTCTCTCTCTCTCTCTCTCTCTCACTCATTCTCTCACCTCACTCTGTCTCTCTCTGTATCTCACTTTTGTATTTTTCTTTGTTAAAAACATTGTTAAATATTTTTCAATATAAATAATTTTATATTACATTCAAAAAATTAAAATAACAAAGATAAGTAATGGACTTCTACCTTGGAGTGATGGTCGGGGTGAACAGCCTCCTTCTGTTGTCCGCCGTACGACTACGTCAAGTTCAAGAGGAAGGTCACTGACAAGGAGGTCAGGTCCAAGGTGGAGGCCAGGCCAAGGTGGAGGCGCAACTTGGGGACCTTAAGATTGAGCCCACTAAGGACGGGACCAAGGCTACTAAGAAAGGGACCAAGGCTACTAAGAACCGGGGTGGAGCTCACTAAGAACGGGGTGGAACCCACTAAGAACGGGGTGGAGCCCACTCAAGAACGGGGTGGAACCTACTAAGAACGGGGTGGAGCCCACCAAGAACGGGTGGAACCCACTAAGAACGGGGTGGAGCCCACCAAGAACCGGATAAGCCTTACCAAGAACGGGTGGAACCCACTAAGAACGGGTGGAACCCACTAAGAACGGGGTGGAACCACTAAGAGCGGGTGGAGCCCACCAAGAACCTGGTTAAGCCTTACTCAAGAACGGGGTGGAACCCACCAAGAGCCGGTGGAACCCACGAACGGGGTGGAACCCACTAACAGCCGGGTGGAACCCACCAAGAAGAACGGGGTGAAACCCACAAAGAGCCGGTGGAGCCCACAAAGAGCCGGGTGGAGCCCACTCAGAAAGGGGTGGAACCCACTAAGAACGGTGGAACCCACTAAGACCCGTGGAACCCACCAAGACCCGGTGGAACCCACTCAAGACCCGGTGGAACCAACCAAAGCCGGTGGAACTCCACTGTGCCGGGTGGAACCACCAAGAGCCGGGTGGAACCCACCAAGAGCCGGGTGAAGCCCACCAAGAGCCGGGTGGAACCTTACTGTGCCGGGTGGAACCCACCAAGAGCCGGGTGGAACCCACCAAGAGCCGGGTGGAACCCACCAAGAGCCGGGTGAAGCCCACTCAAGAGCCGGGTGGAACCCACCAAGAGCCGGGTGGAACCCACCAAGAGCCGGGTGGAGCCACTAAAGAGCCGGGAGCCACCAAGAACCTGGGATAAGCCACAAGAATGGGTAATCACAAGAATGGGTGGAAATTTACCAAGAAGGGGTGAACTCACCAAGAGCTGGTGGGAGCCAAGAACCTGGAAACAGCCACAAGAACACAAGAATTTAATAAGAATGGGTGAACCCACAGAATAAAGGGAATGGTACTACAAGAAGAATGGGTAGAAACCCACACAAAGAAAGGGTGGGGAGTTTACAAAGATGCTGGGTGGGAGCCACAAAGGGGAACCATTAGCAATGGGTGAACACAATATTTGGGAATTTCATTACATTGTGAAACCATCAAGACGGGAACTACCAAAAGGTGAACTGCACAAAAGTGGTGAACCACAGAGTGGGGAACTTGGCTTCAAGAGCGGTAAGCCAACAGAGCGTGGGGAATTTACTGCTGTGAAACCCACTGAAGAGCGGGTGGAACTCAACCAAGAGCCGGGTGGGACCCACCAAGAGCCAAGAAGTTCACTAAGAGCAAACTACTGGGAGCGGTACCACTCAAGAGCGGGTGGAGCCACCAAGGAGCGAAACTCACCAAGAGCGAAATTACCAAGAGCCGGGTGGGAATTTACCAAGAGCCGGGTGGGAAAGCCAACAAGAGCGGTGGGAAATTTACACAAGAGCGGGGAACTTATCAAGAAAGGAATGCACAAGAGCGGTGGGAACTACCAAGAGCGATGGGAGCTACCAAGAGCTGGAGCTGCAGGTATGTGGGGATGTTCAGTACCAAGCTGAGGAAGCTGCCTTGGGCACTTGAGCCAAGCCACAGTACAGATAAAGAACAACAACATCTGGAAATTAAACCACCAGGACTGTACTGGAGCCGCCCCAAAAGATCATGGCTTCACGGCTGCAGACGAGAAAGGCGTTTCAGTGTGCGGCCAAGAACTTATCACACAATTTGCGTACATCTGCTCAGCCTTGGAGAAGGCACGTGGTTGGTGCTGGCGGTCGCTTCTCCGGCCTCACCAAAAAGTTGTTGCGACGTGGAAGTTATCGTCCCCAGCTCTCGGAACCTAACGACCCAGTTTGGGTCAGGAGAGGCAATGGGTACGAAGGCAAGCCTGGGCCACAGACACAAATTAATGCCTTTGGTTGGCGGTATCTTTGCTACTACGACTGTGTTTGTCAATTACTTTTTTGTTATTTATATTATTTTTTTTCTTACTGCTATTGAATATAGTGACGA